AACTAAGGAGCAGTCAGACAGGCAGGAAAGAACCAGGAGAAGGCAATGTCAGAAAAACCCAGAGAGAAGAGAATGGTCTGTAGTGTCAGAGTTTTCAGAGAAACCAAGAAGGATGAGAAAAGACCATGAGATTTGGCATTAAGAGAACAATGAGGAGAAAGTTCCAGTTGAATAATGATGGAGAAATACAGGAGTGAGCCGTTATTGGTATTTAGGAAACTGTTGTCCAGCCTCCAACTGCAGACCTAACAAAGGATTTCCAGAACAGTCCCCTACCGTGCACCACTCGAGGCAAGAGGCTGGCCCTGGAGTGGAGGACAACACTGGGAAACCCATGACTGTCTGAAGGTCAGGTCAGCTTCTTTTGGGGGGGGTTCCCAGAATATGGCTTAGTGAGGAAGGAATGCCCAGTAAGCATAACAGGGAGACAAAGGACCAGAATGTTCTCCAGCATCCTCTGTGCTGCTGCCTGGAGCCTTTCCTCTTGACCTCCTAGGACATGTTGACTTGCCTGATGTTGTGAGGAAAGCATGTTAAAAACTTTACCAGAACATGAGAATTCTTTGTGATCTTGATCCTTGTTTCAAGCCAATTTAAAACTTTTAGTTTTTGCACGTAATGCCCAATGCGTGACTTGTTTTTTCTCTTAAGTAGTAGTGGCCATACTGTAGCCTCACCCCACCAAATTAAATAGAATTCAGCCTGGTGGTTTTTTGTTTGTTTGTTTGTTTTATTGGTTGGGTTTTTTTTTTTTTGTTTGGTTTGGTTTTTTGGGGGTTTTTTGTTGGTTTGGTTTTTGCAGACTCTTCCCTAAAAGAAGAATATAAATTCTCTGAAGATGCCAGGCAAGGCATCCTTTGAGATACTACAAATATTTGGTAGCTAATAAAGAAATTAAAATATTCAGAGAAACTTATTAATTCAAAGGTGACACAGGTTTTTGTAATTCATTTTCCCCAAATTAAATCTCCTCACTTTCCTCTTATAGTGTCTTCCATTCTCACAAGCCATTAGTAGAATATAATGATTCTAAACACATTTTGTGTTGAGGGGTTTTTTAATTTCCAGTCTACATGTGTTAGCAATTATGCTATTAATATCTATTAGAGAGTCCATAACAGAAAGCTGCTGTGAATTCAGTGACACTTTAAAATAAAGGAAAGAGGGAGAAAGGAGCAAGCCTTTATTAAGTCCCTGCTTTGTACCAGGAGCTGTGCTAAGCACTTTACAGATATTTTCTCATTTGAATATATATGTATGTGAGCCAATCAGGCCTCAGAAGGTGTGTTTGCTCATTTATTATGACAAGTCATTTAATGAGGTGGCTGGTGCTGTTTTGCACCTTGTAGAGGTTGGAGTTTGATCTGGTTCCATGTCAAGCTTGCTTCAGTTTAGATTTCAATACAGAAGAGAAGCCTAAGTTCTTTTTTTTTTTTTTTAAGGCAGTTGGGGTTAAGTGACTTGCCCAGGGTCGCACAGCTAGTTAGTTAGTGACAAGTGTTTTGTCTGAGGCTGGATTTGAACTCAGGTTCTCCTGATTTCAGGGCCGGTGCGCCACCTAGCTGTCCCACCTAAGTTCTTCATATCAAACAATTGTAGGTATTGAGAATAAAGTCAGCCAGGTACTTTGATGCAAAGATAAGCTTTAAATAACTGTTACCTACAATATCCTGTTAAGTACCCAAAAAAAAAATAGATATTAGCATAAAACCCCTACTGTTAATATTATGCAATTTTTTTCAAGCGAACACAGTAAAAAAAGATAATACTTGCTACATTTAGGTATTGCCAGACACATTAAAATAGTTCTCCTACCCTCCAAGAGTCCATGGTACAAATGATTGGGAAACCACCAGTGTAGTGAACAGAGTGCTGCGCTGGGATCTGAGAGACCTGACCTGAGATCCCATGCTTAGGAGTTGTGTAGTCTCGGGTAAGTTGCTTGACTTTTCTTGACCTCAGTTTGCTCAGATATAAATGGGAGTGATAATATTTACACAACAAGGATTATCGAGAGGAAAACTCTTTGCCAGCCAGAAATCAATATGGAAATACAACTTACAGCATATTCTCTCCACACTAGAGTGGAGAGAGTGCTGGCTTCATCCTCAAAGGCCTAGGTTCAAAATTTGCCTCTGACACTTCCTAGATGTGTGGTCATAGATAAGACAAATACACTTCACCTGTCTTGGTCTATTTGTTCAGTGCTAAAATAGAAGTTTTGGTGGTCCTAAGAGTTGTCTGCATGGAAGGGAGTGCTGTAAAGGAAAGGGTAGAAAGGAGAGTTGGATCAGATGATATCCAAGTTCCAGCAGTAATTTTTAAAAAAAAGTTAAGTGGGAAGGGACGATAATACCTGTGGTATCTAATTTGAGATGGTCCTCTGGGTCAATGATTCATGATATATATAAAGCATATTGTAAATCTTAAAACATTACATATATAAATCAGTTATAATTGCTATCATTTAGTCAGTCAAGAATCATTTATTTTAAGCACTGGTGATATAGATAGATTAGAGAGATGGTCCTTGCCCTGGAGGAGTCACGTAGCTTGAGTTCTAATGGGGGAAGGTATCACAAAGAAGGGAACTGAAAAGTGGAGAAGAGGAAGGAAATATGGCTGGCCTGGGCTCCGTCCTTTAAGGGAGCTCCTGGGAGGAGCTCCAGGGCTCTACCTTTTCTCATACTATATCCCTTCTTCATATGCTTTACCAAAGGCAGACAGAACTATTCACTTCGTGCTCCACAGGTATGTGCTAAACAGCTGCTCTTTTTCGACTATTCTTGTCCCTTGCACTAGGAAACTGCTCCACACCCCTTCCTCTCAAACCCAATGGAATGGTGCCCATTTTTCTTCAGAGTCTAACTCGTTATTGATACTCTTCAACTACCCACCCAGAAATGTTGTCTCCTTTCCTACCATCACTTTATCTCTCAGATAGCTTGGTGCCCCAGTGGAGAGAGCCCTGGACTTGGGAGTCACGAACACCTGAGTTCACATTCCACCTTAATCACTAGATGTGTGACCCTGGACAAGTGACTCTGCCTCCCCTCCAAATTCCTCATCTGTGAAGTGGGAATGATAATAGCCTCCCCAACTACCACCCCACTGGTAATGGCAGTAAAACGAGATGACCCATGAAGAACGTGGATAACACTAAAAGGTTATATAAATGCTAGCTGGCAGTAGTAGTGGTAAATATTCAATTCCAAATTCCCTCTCTCCACCCTGTCCCTCACCCATTATAGGTAGGTAGGAAATACCATACCCATTATACATATGAAGTCAAACAAAACATATTTCCACATTAGCTGTGTTGCAGGGGAGGGCAGTGAAGATACAGTAAGAAGAAAAAATATATAGGGGCAGCTAGGTGGCGCAGTGGCTAGAGCACAGGCCCTGAAGTCAGGAGTACCTGAGTTCAAATCCGGCCTCAAGACCAAACATTTGACACATACTAGCTGTGTGACCCTGGGCACGTCACTTAACCCCAAACGCCTCACCCAAAAAAAAAGGAAGAAGAAGAAAAAATATGCTTCACTCTGCACTCAGAGTTCATCAGTTCTCTCTCTGGAGTTGGATAGTATTTTTCATCATGATTTTTTGAAACTGTCATGGATCATTGTATTGATCAGAATGACTAAGTCTTTCATAGTTGATTGATTATCTTATTGTTGTTACTGTGTACAGCATTCTCCTAGTTCTGCTCACTTCGGTTTTCATCAGTTTATGCAAGTCTTCCCAGGTTTTCCTGAAATAATCCCTCTCGTCGTTTCTTATAGCACAGTAGTACTCTGTCACAATTAGGGACAACAGCTTGTTCAGCCATTCTCCAGTGGGTGGGTATCTCCTTAATTTCCATTTCTTTGTTCCCACAAAGAGAACTGCTATAAATATTTTTGTACATATGGGGTCCTCTTTTCTTTGATCTCTTTACGGTACAGACCTGAGTCAAAGGGTATGCACAATTTTATAGCCCTTTGGGCATCATTCCAAATTGTTCTCCAGAATTTTTGGACCACTTCATAGTTCCACCAGCAGTACCTTAGTGTACCTCAGTCAGCATTTTTAAAAGGCTTACTATGTAAGGTCCTGTGCTGAGTGCTGGGAATACAAGTAGAAGGATAAACAGCTTCTGGCTTCAAGGAGCTTACATCCTAATAAGGAAAGACAGCACATAAAAGGAATCTAAAAGGGGGCAGGGAGACAGACATACCCTATGTGAGGAAAAGAATGAGATATGGGTGACTTGGACAACCTTCTGGGAGGAGCCATCCAATCCAATTCAATTCATATGCACTTGTGTCTTATTTTGTATTTTAGAGACTTTGGCATGTGTTTTCTTCCATTCAGGTCCTCTCCATTCTTCGTTGTGTTATGGAGGTGACCCTCAGTTCTTAGTAGCTCTGCCAACCCTGCCAGGTTGGAAAGGCTTTGAGTACCAGGTTGTTCTGTACCCATTTGTCCATCTGTAACCCCACCCAACTAATTTCAGAAGGATTGCTACCGATTTGGCTATAAGATATAATTTGGTCACAGCAGCTCTGTAGGCCATCATCAAAGGGGTGGATGGAGTGTTTGGAATGGTGGGGGGTGTGGTACCCATTGACAAAATCACAGATCCTTGAAAAATTGAGGACATTTATGCCTCTTATCTTTGTTGAATTCTGGGGTATAGACCACAGAGAGCTAATTTCATTTCTCATTTTGTCTACCTCAGAACCTAGTACAATACTCTGCATGTGGTGAGTGCTTAATAAATAAGTGGTTGATATGACTAACCTTACATAGAGTTTTATAGTTCATACTTCTTGATAAAGGTAATAACAGCAAATGTCTAAACCAGAAACAAAACTGAGTCTTGGCTCTTGGCCCCTTGTTTGAGTCATTTGTGTATACTCCTATCACTTATGATGCTTTAGTTTAAGTGAGTTGTAATTCTTTTGTGTAAGTCCTCATGAATATGTTTTGTTTTCTCTCTCAATCTTTGTTTCTAGACCAGTTGAGTCCTGTGGCTTTTTCAAAGATTGGTTGATGATGGAAATGCACTGGATACAAGAAGCAGATTCTACCTTGTTGTAATAGAAGCATTCTCAGCCTTTCTCCTGATCGTGCTCCCAGCGTTGGGCAGGAGGAGTGACAAGGATCTCTAATTGAAGAGAAGAAAACATCATTTGGGAAACTTTTTCTCCCCCATATTTCTGCATTTTAATTTTGTTTTCACTTTATACATGGTCAGAATTAAGGAAGTAGACAACACCTCTGGAAGCATTCCACTCCCAGTCTAGCATTGAACACAAGTGTGTTGTCCAGAATCTTCACAAAGCAGAGCAAGTTTCTGCTGGACTGTTTCTACCCCAAGGCAGTCCAAGATCTTAAGATTACAGTAGACACACACACACACACACACACACACACACACACACACGTTTAGCAGCTGTATGATTGGGGATAATGAAATTAATATTTTAAATGCCCTCTCATGTAGATGTTTCTCAATTGAGTTGACTCTCCAAGTTCACAATTTTCTATTACTTTAATAAAATTATATTTTTCCTCTGTTATCTGCCCTTTGCTAACACATGACCACACTTGTCTTGCTAGCCATGGCCTTGCTATGAATAGCGTTGGTAGCAACTCACTAGATCCTCATGTACTATCTGCTTCAGCGACAACATAGTGCCCACCCTGAAGGCAGGTGAATGAGCTGAACAGAGGTGTGTGGTCCCCCCCTCCCTTTTTTTAAATGTAACCAGACACCTTTTTCTGTTCTCCCCCTCCCCCTCCCCCCTTTATTTGGGTAAGTGTGAGAAACAGAGTAGTTTAAAATGAGCAACTGAGGGGGCAGAGGGCTGGTCAGCACAGGGCGTGGCTTTTGGTGCCTCGAATAGGCGTGCTGCTGCCCAGGCCACCCCAGCCCCTCTTGACAGAAAGATAACGTGGAAGACCCAGCTGGGCCAAGCATACGGAGTTGGAGGACCAGGACCGCAGAGGTTACACTCTGGGGTAAATATTCTCCATGTCACTGACTCTAAAAAAAAAAAAAAAGCCTATGGATGTGTATGTGCAAATGGGTGTCCAATTTGGGAGGCAGCGTTCATGTATCTGCAGGCAGGGTTGGAAAAACAGGTTGTAGATTCTACGGGCCTCTCTAGGGAAGGATACTGGAAGATACTGAAGGACATTGATGGCAGCAGGAAGCAGAGCCTCCTAAGTGATGAAGCTTTTCCTGCATTCCCAGGATGGTTTCTTACTCTGCTTATTCTTTTAACAGTGCAAAGCACTGTTTTCCTTTTTTTTTTCCTCCTTTTTTTGGGGAGGTGGGGGTGTCAGTGAAAGTTAAGTGACTTGCCCAGGGTCACACGGCTAGTAAGGGTCAAGGATCTGAGGTCAAATTTGAGCTCAGGTCCTCCTGACTTCAGGGCCGGTGCTCTATCCACTGCCATCTAGCTGCCCCAAATATTTTTGTACATGTAGATCCTTTTGCCTTTTTTTTCCAACCTTTTTTTGTGGGGGAGGGGGAGGGGAAGCGCTAGGCAATGGGGTTAAGTGACTTGCCCAGGGTCACACAGCTAGTAAGTGTTAAGTATCAAGTGTCTGAGGCTGGATTTGAACTCAGGTCCTCCTGACTCCAGGGCCAGTGCTCTATCCACTGCACTGCCTAACTGCCCCTCTGCTTATTCTTGTAGTGTTCACAAGGAATCCTTGAGAAATTTTTAGCTTCCTTCCATGTTGCCAGAACCTGGCAGGCCTAAGGGATGTTTGCCTTGTTTGTCTCTGTCAGATCCTGGCCATGAGGTTTGATGCCTCCTCACCTTGCTGAAGAGAGACACTGGACCTAAATGGCGCAGCATGACTTCGTCCCTGCTTGGCTTAATTTCTCCACACCACAGTCAGCTAAGGTATAATTCTTGTTCCTTAGTCTCTGAAGCCAAACTTTAATACTCCCTCCTCTTAGCTAAATTATAAATACAACACTAATCAGATTTACTGTTTTTTCCACTCTGTTTACATTTTATAAGCTATTTCATGCTAGTATTGTGAATGGGTGCAAAAAATAACTTCACCAATACAAGATGGGAGAAGTAGATAGCATTTTGTCTGAAAAAGACCTGGTGGTCTTAGTGGACTACAAGCTCAATTTGAGCCAGCAGGGTGATGGGGCAGCCAGAAAAGCCAAAATAGTCTGGGTATTCAATCACTAAACTTGTATTTGTTAAATATTGGCTTAATGTGGGGCACTGTGTTGTACACTGGGGATACAATTACAAAGAGTAAAACAGTTTTTGCTTGCAGGGGATTGCATTCTAATGGGAGAGGCAAATACATTATAAACATATCATGCAAAAAAAGTGAATAAATACAAATATACGCAACATTGGTTAAATAAAAGGTAGTTAGGGAAGGAGATCACAAAAGTTAGGAGCATTAAAAAAAACTTTTTACAGAAAGTGGTGCTTGAGTCATTTTAAAGAGAAAGTGGGGCTCCAAAGAAGAGTTATGGACAAAATGCATTCTAGACATGGAGGACAACTGGGTCAGAGACATGGAAACCGGAGCCAGACATAGTGTCGTGTCAGAGAAAAGACCAGAAGACTGCATTCTAGATGATGAGAAAAAGGGCAGTGTCTAGGGAATCTGTAAAGGTTCCAGGCTGTGAAGGACTGTAAGAGCTCAGCAGAGAAGTTTTGTTTGATCCTGGAGTCAGTAGGGAGCCACTGGAATTGATTGAGTGGGGGAATAACGTAGTCAAAGCTGTGGTCAAGGAAAATAACTTTGGCAGCATTGTAGGGTGGAATGGAGTGAGGGAGACCTGAAGCAGGAAAATTAGGCAGCTATTACATAAGTTAGGCATCTGGGTACTGTAGTAGATAGAGGGCCAGGTCTGTCGTCAGGGACACCTAGGTTCAAAACCAGCCTCAGACACTTATTAGTTGTGGTGACCCTGGACAGGGCACCGAATTTCTCTGTGCTTTGGTTTTCTCATCTGCAAAATGGAGATAATAATAGCACCTACCTCCCAAGGTGGTTGCAAAGGTAGAATGAGATACTTGAAAAGCATTTGCCAAACCTTCAGCTGTTATATAAATGCTAGTCATTATCATCGTCATCGTCATTGTCTAGATGTGAGCTGATGAGGGCCCAAAGTGGTAGCTATGTGAGTGGAGAGAAGGGGTCAGAATGTAAGAAATGTTGTGAAGGGAGACAGGGATTGGCAAATGGTTCAACATGTGGTGTGGGGGAAAGTGAAAATTCTGGGGTGATACAAAGTTTACAAACTTGGGTGACTAGAAGGATTGGTGCCCTTGATGGACATAGGCAAGTTTGGAAAAGGGAAGTGTTAGATGGAGAGGGGGAAGTAATGAATTCATTTTGAAATGTCTAATAGGCAGTTGGTGATACAAAATGAATTTCAGAAGAGAGACTGACAATGTATAAATCTGGGAATCGTCCACATAGAGATAATAGTCAAAACTCATGGGAACTGATGAACTCACAGAAAGAATGTACAGGGAAGAGAGATGAGAGCCTAGGACAGTTAGGGGGAACAATCTGGATAATGAGCCGGCAAAAGAAACAGTCAGAGAGGTAAGAGGCAGAGTAGTGGTAGTATCACAAAAACCCAGAGAACAGGGAATGATCAACAGTATTAAATACATCTGGTAGATTGAGAAAGATTAGAATTAAGAAAAGACCTTCAGATTCAACAGTTTAGTAATTCCCAGTAATTTGGGGAGGGGAGGTGTTCAAGGAGGACTAGCACATCTAGTGTGAGGGCTTGCTCAGCCCTTTTCAGGGCTGCTCATCCACCTTTGGTGTCTACCTGTCCAATTCTCACCTGCAGCTCCAGGAAGCCATAGCATGTACAGCAACCGCATTTGGGTAAAATGATCTCAGCAGACAGGCTAAACCAGTAAACAACAGCCTTCAAACCCCATCGATGAGTTGGGAGATATCTATCCCGAGTGTGTGAAGATTTCCCCTGGTGGAATGGGCAGATGAGAACAACTTGATCCATTGGCCAGGAAGGTGGCTGAAGCAGGCACTGCACTGTGGGGCTCTTAGAGCTTAGTCAGACGTGGAAGACAGCATCCTGAGCCATTGTTAGTCATCCTGACTTTTATCCTTCAAAAATGAAGGATAAAAACAGTAATTTGGAGGGGAGGATTTTCAGACTGCAAAGGGTTGAGGAACCAGTTAGAAGGAGGAAATACAGTTTTAAGGAATTTGGCTGAGAAAGAGGAGAGATACAGAATGAGCTTGTGGGGATGATCTAGTGGAAGATCTAGTGAGGATTTTTTAAGAATAGGGAAGGCTGGAATATCTTTGTAGACAATAGGGAAGAGACTAGGAGATACTGAAGATGAGAGAGAAGGAGGGTTGGTTACGGATGCCATCTGCTAGAAAAGACAAAAGATGATGAGATCAAAGGCATGTGGAGTGGGATTGGCCTTGGTAAAGATAACTTTTTATTAAAAAAAAAAAAAAGGTGGTATAGAAAGGAGCAGAGAGGAAGACCATAGTATACCATGAGGTTTTCTTGGCAAAGATATTTTAATTGTTTACCATTTCCTTCTCCAGTGGATTATGGCAATTAGAGATATGCCCAGGGTCACATAGCTAGTAAGTGTCTGAAGCCAGTTAACTCAGTTCTTCCTGTTTCAGGCCCAGCTCTCTATCAACTGAGCCACCTAGATGCTTCTAGCAGTATGACTTGCCCAGGGTCATACTGCTAGTAAATGTCAGAGGGTGGATTTGAACTCACTTCTTCCTGATTCTAGATCCATTGATTTGTCCACTGTGCCACCTAGTTGCCTATTCTACATTTCTGGGGTTTTTTAACCAGTATCAAATAGTTTTAATGACTACCACTTTGTAGGATAATTTAAGGTCTGAAAATGCTGTTTTCCTTTCATTCTTCCCTCTTTTTCTCCATTTTTTTCCCTTGATTCTAGACCCGTTTGTTATTTTGCTACATGAATTTTGTCCAGCTCTCTAACTCTACCCTCTTTGGTACTTGGTATTGCACTAAATCTATACATTAATTTAGGTTTTATCATTTTTATTATATTAGTGTGACCTAAGCCCAAGCAACAAATATCCCTCTTAATTGTTTAAATCATTTTTTTAAAGATTGTTTTGTAACTGTTTCTATAAGATTTGAATGTGCTTTGGTAGATGATCTCCTGATTATTTAATGAGGTTTAGACTTATTTTGAATGAGATTTACTTCTCTATTTCCTCTTGAATTTTGTTATTGTTATAAAAATGTCTTGGTTGGTTTTGCTACACTTTTTTTCCCTTTTTTAATCTGTTAGAAGGGATGGCTGTGTGGGTGAGAGAGAGTGGGGAGAAATATAATCAAAAAAGAAATTGACATAAAAGCATCAATTTTTAAATTTTTTGACATTTTGAATTTTGGCCCATAACTGTAGTCCATTAAGATATTTTAGGATTATGAGTGAATGGCTCCACATGTTCGCTCTCTTTTCCAATTTTTTGTCCTCTTCAAGTATCAAAAGTATGCTATGTAGGCCTTTACCCCAGTTGATAACAAGAATGACTAGATCTGAGCCAGCATGAAGGCCCTTCAGTAAATCTCTCCCAAATTCACATTGATGACCATTGATGACTGACTCTTTGAGTCAGTTTGTTATGAATTTACTTGGCTATACTATCGTCTTGCCCATATTTCTTTATCTGGTTCATGGAGAAAATAGGAATTTGTGGGGTGTTTTCCACACATCTAAGTCATTTATGACTGTATCATTCACTTGATAGAATCCTGTCTGTAAAAGAAGGTTAATCTGACATACCGTGTTCTTAATGAGGCCAGACTAGCTCTGACTGCTGCTGTCCTTTTTGAAATATTCGGAAATATTCTTTTATTATTATGTTTTCAAATTTGAAACCAGTAAGTCAAACTCACTTGCTTATAGTTTCTAGGTTCTTGAAAATTGGGACATTTGTTCTTTTCTTTTTTTGTAGCCTATGATGTTTCTTCTGTTCTTCAGGGTCTTTTAAAAATGTGCAGTGCTTTGTCAATCACATTTTACAAGTTTTTTCAATATAACCAAAAATGGGTGACTGGAATTCATAGAGGGCGGCTAGGTAATGTCATATTCTCTCCTCCTTTGAGTTTTCATTCCACTGTTAGCCATTATTGTTCTATCCTTTCCATCCTTCATAGCATTCTCCTTGGTTTTAGATATTACTTATTTTACATATGCTTTCTAATGTTTTTAACAGGAATGGATATTATATCTTGTCGGAAACTTTTTCTACATCTTTTGATATATAATCATAAGATTTTGTTGTTTTTGTTATTAGTAAGGTCAATTATGTTTATAGTTTTCCTGATAATGAACTGGCCCTATATTCCTGGTATAAATGCAGCTTGGTAGATGTTTGTAATATATAGCTGCAGTCTCCTTGTTAATATTTTATTTATAATTTTTATATCAATATTCTTTAGGGATATTGGTCTATACTAGTGTCAAATTCAAATAGAAATGGATCCCTGCAGACCACTTACTGACTTAGAAAACTTCAAATTAATATTATCTGTGTTCTTTTGTATTTTTATTTATTTTGATAAACATTTTCCAGTTATATTTTAATCTGGTTCGGGCTGTACTTGGAAGTTTTGCAGTCTAAGAGATTGACACCTCTGGTCTATAGTTTTCTTTCTCTGTTTGACTCCCTGGTTTAGGTATCAAGACCATATTTGTGTCATAGAAGGAATTTGGTAAGACCTCTTTCTTTTCCTATTTTTTTCAAACAGTTTATGTAGTATTGGAATTGTTTTTAAAAATATTTGGTAGAATTTTCTGGTCCTGAGGATTTTTGTTTAGGGATTTATTTACGGTTTGTTCAATTTCTTTTTCTATGATAGGGTTATTGAGTACCCTATTTCTAGTGTGTTAATCTGGGTAATTTACATTTTTGTAAATTTTCATCCATTTTATTTAGATTGTCAGTTTGACATACAGTTCTGGCTTTATGTAAATTTGCCCTGTACAAATTTGACTTTTTACAGAAAACATTCTGAAAAAAATCCGCATTCCCAAAAAAACACCTATGTTAACTTTACTTTACAGTACTATGTGCTGCTGTCTCTCCACGCTTGCCCCTGCTTTCCTCTCCTCTGTGCTCCATTCTTCCACACTATACTGCATGGCTCTCCCATCCTCACTCCCCACCCCCAAAAAACAAACAAACAAACAAACAAAAAAAAACCAATTGAAAGCAGAAGCTGCCGCTGCAGGAGGATTAGGGACTTGGCTTGAGACCTCTGATGCCAGAGAGGAGACCTTTTCCACTTCACCCACCTGCCTGCCTGTCGGTTCTTCTTGCATTTCTCTCTTCCACCTGTCTGTGCTGGGGTTCTGAGTGTCTGTTCCTGGCCCCCACGTGTTGCCTGTCCTGTCCTGTCTGTGTCCATGTCTGGCTCCCATGTATCTGCTCCCCGCCTTGCTTTTCCTCTTGGTTTGGACCTGGTCCTTGTGTGTTCCTCCTCTGCTGTTGTTTCTCACTGTGTGCCAGCCCCCTCCACAGGTATTCAGGGCAATTCCCTTCCTGCTGCTTTCCAGGCAATTCACATCATGTAAAAATAACTTTACGTATAGGTCTGCAGAATAATCTTTACATAAAGCAAAAACTGTCTATGTAGTTGGGCACAGTAGCTGTTAATTTCCTTTATTTCTTCATTAGTTGTGAATTTCACTTTTTTCATTTCTGATATTGGCAGTTTGGTATTCTTAAAAAAATCAACCTATCTAATGGCTTATCTACTTTTTTTTTCTTCTCCCCTCCCCCCCCAAAAAGATTTTAATATTATTTATTCACTTGGTTTTTTGCTTTCATTTTATCTCCTTTAATTTTCAGGATTTTTATTTTGGTGTTTAATTGGGGATTTTTGATTTGTTGGTTTTTCTGGGGAGGTTTTAGTTGCATCCCTAATTCCTCCATCTGATCTTTCTCTCTTTTATTGGTGAAAGCATTTAAAGATATCAGTTTTCCCCTAAGTGTTGCTTTAGCTACTTCCCAGAAATTTTGGAATCTTTTCATTTTTGTTATTATTTTTAATAATTGTTTTTGTGATTTATTCTTCAATCAGATTTTTTTAGAATTAAGTTATTTTCCATTTAATTTTTTGGTTTTTTTTGTTTTGTTTTGTTTTTTGGGTTTTTTTTTTTTTGTTTGTTTTGTTTTTTGGTGAGTTAAGTGACTTGCCCAGGGTCACACAGCTAGTGAGTATCATGTGTCTGAGGCTGGATTTGAACTCAGGTCCTCCTGACTTCAGGGCCAGGGCTCTATCCACTACACCACCTAGCTGCCCCCCATTTAATTTTTAATCTTTGCTGCAAAGGCCTTTTATTGAATGTAATGTTGGTAAAAAATATATTTGATGTGGTTTGCTTTTCTGCATTTGTTTGTGAGGATATTAGTCCCTCATACATTGTTAGTTTTTGTAAAGGTGCCATGTACAGCTGAAAAATAGGCATATTTCTAGTTCCATTCAGTAGTCTCTCGAGGTTTATCATATCTAACTTTTCTAAAATTCTATTCAACTTAAATTCTTTGTTGTTTATTGTTTGGTTCAGTTTATCTAGGTCTGAGAGGAGATAAATTGAGGTCCCCCACTGTTACGGTTTTACTGTTTCTTCTATGTAATTAATTTTTCTTTTAAGAATTTAAATGCAACACCATTATGTGCATATATGTTGTATTCGTTGTCTGTGATAACTTTTAGCAAAATGTAGTTTCCCTGCTTTTCTCTTTTGTTTAAGTCTATTCTTGCTTTTGTTTTGTCTGAGATCAGCTGAATCATGATGAATTCTGCTCTAGCCCTTTATTTTAACTCTGTGTGTACTTTCTACTTCAGTATTTTTTTTTAAATAGCATATTGTTGGATTCTGATTTTTAATCCATTCTGCTACCTTCTGTTTTATGGATAATTTCATCCCATTTACTTGTTATATTTGAAAATTAAAGTAAACTGATAGACTCTGTTCTGAGCATGATCAATTATTAGTTAGGCTAGCAGTAACCAATAAATTGGGTCAGTGGCCTCTCAATGACCAAAGATCCTCAAGGTAGAGCCCACCAGCCTTAATGTAGTTTGGGGGAGTACAGAGTTGAGTAGGTGGGGAAGACACTGCAATTGTTTATAGGATTAACAGCAGCTTGGGGGTGGGGACAACATGATTGGTTACATCTGTGTCATTAAGGAATGCTTGTTTGATTTATGGGACCCATTTACATCCTGAGGATGTTGTTAGTGGACCAGGGATGGCAGATTCTCTGGCTTTTAGGAGGATTTGTTAAGGAGAGAAGAGCTTCCTTAATAATAGTACAAGGGCAAGTAAGGATGGACGATACTTCTCTTGGAGCTTCAGGACTTAACACCAGATGTCTTGGTATTTTCTCAGGACCTGAAGATAAGTTTTTCCTATTAATTAAAACTTTTAACTCAAAGGGAAAACTGAATTTCCGAACTCAACTCAAAAACATAGAAAGGGGGTTTGAACAGTCAAACAAAATGGGGGGAATAATACAGAATAGAATGTATTCTAAAATGATACAGAATCAATTACTTTTTCAAACTTTCATGGTTATAATTATCGTATATTTCCCTCTATCCTATTCTCTTATACTTTTTTTTTGTCTCCTGTACCTTCTTTAAGAGTCTATTTTCTTTCTCATTACCACCTGCCTTAATCTGCCTTCCTTCTTATCCTTTTCCCCCATTCTCTTCTACTTCCCTGTTGGGTAAGAAGAATTTCTGTACTCAGTGGTGGGTGAGTGTGTTTTATTCTCCCTTCTTATAACCATTTCAAATGAAAGGGAAGTTCAAGTGTTTCCGGCTCCTCTTTTCCCCTGTGGCCTCCTCCAATGTAAACTTTTCCTTGTGTACCCTATTTATATGAGATTATTTTCCCATTCTTCATCTCCCTCCCCACCCTTCCTTTCTTCTTCTGAGATCATCCAAATACAACAGAACTTCCTTTATGAACCCTCATGATGATAGAGCTCTGAGGGGATAAATGTTTAATCTCCCCATATAAGAATATAAACAATTTAACCTTGTGATTGTTCTTGATTCTTGCGTTTTTATGTCAGATATGTTTGTGTGACTGTTCAGCTCTATTTTTCAAATCAGGAATACTTGAAAGTCTTCTATTTCTTTAAAGAACTGTGGTGGTGGTGGTGGTGGTTGTTTTTCCCCGTAGGATTATACTCACTTTTGATGGGTAGATTATTCTTGGTTGTAAGCCTAGATCCTTTGCCTTCTGGAATTTTGTGCCAAGCTCTCTATTTCTTTATTATAGTGACTGCTAAATCTAGCATGATCCTGATTTTGAGAGCATGTAGGTGACACAGAGGATAGAGTACCAGACCTAGAGTCTGGAAGACCTGAGTTCAAATGTGACATCAGATACTCTAACTATGTACCCCTGGTCAATTCACTTAACCTCTATTGTCTCAGTTTCCTCATCTATAAAATAAGGATATATAGCACCTGTCTCCTAGAGTTGTTGTGAGGATCAAATGAGTTAATAATAGTAAAGTGTTTAGTGCAGTGTCTGGCACATGGTAAGCACTATGTAAGTGTTAGCTGTCATCATCATCATTATTATTATTGTTCTTCCACAGTACTTGAATTCTTTTCTTTCTGGCTTCTTACGGTACTTTTTTCTTGACCAGGGAACTCTGGATTTTCACTCTAATATTCCTGCAAGTTTTCATTTTGGGGTTTCTTTCAGGAGGTGACTGATGAATTTTTTCCATTTTGACTTGGCCTTCTGGTTCTAATATAACTGGAAAGTTTTATTTTAAGATTTCTTGAAATATGATGTCTAGATTACTTTTCTCATTCGTGGCTTTTAGGTAGTTCATTGTGTCTTTGTCGTTGTTGTCTTCATCTTTTGACTTTGTGTTATTATTTCTTGATGTCTCATGGAGTCATTAGCTTCCGTTTGGCCAACTCTTCTCAAGGAGTTATTTTCTTTAGCAAGGTTTTATTCCCCATTTTTCCAAACTGTTAGTTGTCTTCATTTCTTTCTTCCCTAGCTTTTGCTTCTTTCCCCGTTTTTTTCCTCTACTGCTCTCATTTAGTTTTTAAAATTATTTTTAGCTCTTTTTTTTTCTTTTAACTCTTGCATATCTCTCCTAGGGATTCTTTTTTTTTCCCCTCAATGAGGCAGTTGGGGTTAAGTGACTTGCCCAGGGTCACATAGTTAGTATTATGTGTCTGAGGTCAGATTTGAACTCAGGTCCTCCTGACTCCTGGGCTGGTGCTCTATCTACCTCCACCTAGCTGCCCCATTGCTAGAAATTCTTGTTGGGCTTCTGTCCAAAATGTATTTCTTTTCCTTGAGGCTTTGTTTATAGATTTCTTCAAGTTATTCTCTTCTGTGTTTGTATTTTGAGCTTCCTTGTTGCCAGAATAGCTCTTTATGAAGGGCAGCTAGGTGGCGCAGTGGATAGAGCACTAGCCCTGGATTCAGGAGGACCTGAGTTCAAATGTGACCACAGACACATAACCACAGACACATAACACTTACTAGCTGTGTGACCTTGGGCAAGTCACTTAACCCCATTGCCTAGCGCCGCCCCCCCCCCCCCCAAAAGAACAGGTCTTTATGGTCAGATTCTTTTATTTGTTTGCTGTCTTCTAGCCTTCTTGACCTTGGACTTCATGTTAATCTGGGTTTAGCCCACTTCTAAGAAGACTGTCTGGCCTGAGCACTTGTCCTCTTACCTCCTGCTGCTAAGTCTATTCCTACAGGGATGTCGTGTGGGGCAGTGTCTGCTCCTGGCCCTCCTGCTTTGAGCTTTGTACGTTCCTGACCCACATTTTGGTCTGGCAGCTTTTCCTTTGGTGGGAGTTTCAGCAGACTGCTGCTTGACTGAGTCACTTATTTCTCCTGATGGAAGGCTCTTCAGGTTCAGAACTGAACTCCAGGATCCCCTTTAGCCTGTGATTTCTGCCAGGGTAATTCCACTATAGGCAAGAAATTAGTTCCCTTCTGCTTCTGGGACCAGAGCTACTGTTTGCTTCCAGTACTTATTCCTTGCCCTGGATCTGTGTCTCAGAACTAGATAGTAGGCAGCAGAACAGAATGGGTGCCACATGACACCCATCCCTGTGCCCTGCCCTCTTTCAGTCTCTAGGCAGTAAAATGCTCCTAGCAGCAAACTCCTGGCCGGACTTCCTCCCCCTCTCTATAAATCTTTATGGAAGAGGATTGGTGGGCAAGGTAGGCTGTACTTCTTCCTCTCAATCCTCCATCTTGACTCTGTCATTCTTCTCCTTGAAGGAGAAAATAGGAAGCAAAGTGAAAGTTAAGTATTTTCTGCCCTCTGTCATTATAATTACAAATCCTCTCCCTTCTTTGATTCTTCTCTTTTTCCAGGGTACAACTTAAAAATGCCCTTGTTATCCTTAGCGTTCATATGAGCCTTAGTTTGTTCTGACTTTTAGTAGTCCTGAAACTATCCCTAAATGACCATGCCCCATATTTTTCGTCTTCCGTTATTTGAATCTGCTTCTGTGTCCTGTACATGTCTTTTTAGAATCTTAGTGCATCCACACCAGGGTCCTCAGACAGATGCGTCTCCTCTTTGCTGCCTCATGACAAGGGTTTCTTTTGTGTCTTCAGAATTTCTTTTATAAGAGCTTCCCATTTTCCCTGGGCTTGTCTTAACCCTAAAGAATTTTGCTTATCTTTTCTCTGAGGAAGTAAAGAGCTTGACCCAGAGTCAGGAAGCTGTTGTTCAGTCATGTCCAACTCTTCGTGACCCCATGGACCCAGAGCATGCCAATGCTGTCCATGGGGTTTTCTTGGCAAAGACACTGGAGTGGTTTGTCATTTCCTTTTCCAGTGGATTCAGGCAAACAGAGGTTAAGTCACTTGCCTAGGGTCACACAGCTAGTATATGTTTGAGGTTGGATTTGAACTTGGGTCTTCTTGACTCCAGGCCTCGTGTTCTCTCTATCCACTGAGTTACATATCTGCCACAAAAGTCAGGAAGACTTGAGTTCAAGACTGGCCTCAGACTTGGACAGGCCACTTCTTACCTTCTCTCAGCCACAGTTTCCTCATCTGTAAAATGGGGGTAATAATAGCACCTGATTCCCAAGGTTGTGATGAGGTGCTTTATAAACCTTTAAACTGTATAAATGTTAGCTTTCTTTTTTTTTACATTAGGGAATTTGGACATGTTTTTTGGGAACAAGGAAGGACCCGGTGAATAAAGAACAATTGAAGATTAGGAGGCAGGAGTGGACTGAACACTAAAAGAGCAACATGGGTGGGAAAGGGACCAAGGGTTGGTCTTAGCAAGGAAAAGAGCTACAAATTTATCATCGGTGAAAACAAAAAGAGGAAAGAATAATGGGAGTTGGGTCGAGGAACTTAGGTGTAGAATAATTAAGGAGGAAAGGGAGTTGCCAATGGATATGAAGGTGTTGGATCGGGGGGGGGGGGGGGGTAGGAGGTTTGAGGCAAGAAGAGGAGGTTAGACTGTATGCCAAGGAGTGATATCATTAGAAGCAGGAAGGCCTGAGTCGAGATTGTGGACCCAGCCTGTATAGTTCTGTATTTCTCTGTGTTCAGCATCATAAGAGTAGGCTTGGCAGAAGTGTCTTGGGTTTTTGGTTTTTTTAAAAAGACACAGTCTCTCAGAAATATTCTTCATGGGGTAAATGGGATGGGGAAGAAGGTCTGGGGACAAGAAAGAGATATGACCAGTACACTGATAGATAGAACACAAGGGTTGGGTTTGTTAGAGACAACAAACAGAGGCTCTCTCCCACCCAGAATCACTTTTGAAGGCAGCATCAGACAAGTCACATATCCTCTCAAGACTTCACTTTCTTGATCAAATTAAATGTAACCAGATTACATATCTTTTGGATGGAAGTTCCTTTTCAGCTCTCAGACCATGATTCTAATCATTAAGTTTAGACACGATGCTTGTTGGGGAAAAGGTGATGAGAGTGTCACGGAGGAGGTGGACGTGGAATTGATTCTTGATGGAAGTGAAGGCTTTTGAAAGCCGTGAGATAGGCAAGCAGTGCATTCCAGATGTGTGCTTGTTTAGCACAGAGAGATAGATTGTGGAAAGGTTTTCATGCTCACCCAAGGTGTGTTTGCCCATGACCCAGTAGTAGGCTTCTCCTGCAGGGTTTTGAGCTGGTGAGTGCCATGGTGGTGTTTATCCGTATTACGACTTGGCCCTGGCAGAGTAGCTTCGGCTACTACTCATGCATTTGCTTCTTTGGTCTTTCTCTTCCTAGTCTCCTGCAGCCACCTTTGAAAAACATGGAGAGCACCTATCCCGAGGAGAAGGACGATTTGGAGTGAGTCGCCGGAGACATAACTCCTCTGATGGTTTTTTTAACAATGGGCCCCTACGGACTCCAGGAGGTGAGTGATTCCCAGCATCCTCTTGTTCACGTCAAAGCCATCTGGTGCAGCAAGCACCACCTGGGAAAGATGGAAGGAAGGCAGACCATTGCTTCCATCCGCGTAGGAACTTGTCTCAGGTGGAGGCTGTACTGCTCGTACCCACCTGAGCTGGGCTCTCTACTGGGTGGGAGAGGCTTGTCTTCTGATGGATTTAAAACCATTTGTCACAGTTGAAAGGGATCTTTCCAGGAATTGGCATTGAAAGAAAAGTTGAACTTTGATCATTCTGGCTCAGTTTTCCAATCTCATAATCCATATCATTCTAATCAGACTAGCCATTGGCTGACTGGCAGGGCCTTCAGCCAGATCAAAGGCCCCTGGCCTGCCCCCTCCACACTCCCAGCAGAGAGCCACATTGACGCGTGTTGTTGCTTTTCCTTTCCACGTTAGATTCCTGGCACCAACCCTCCCTGCTCCGCCATGACTCCGTAGATTCGGGTGTCTCCAAGGGCACACATGCCGGACTCGCTGGGAACCAGTCCGGCTGGCATGGCTCTGCCCGGGGTCACGATGGCGCGAGCCAGCGCGGCGGGGGGGGAGCAGGGACTCACCGCCACTGGAATGGCAGCTTCCACTCCCGCAAGGGCTCTGCCTTTCAGGAAAAGCCACCTACTGAGGCCAGGGAAGAAAAGAAAGAAGAGAAGGCGGAGAAGTTGCAGTTTGAGGAGGAAGACTTTGTAAGTGTGGAACTTTCCAAGGGCAGCTAAGGCTGCGGCATAATAATAGAAGAAGTCAGGACCCTTTGGCAACAATTTTTTTTTTCAAAATTACACAGTATAGAAGTAGATATAACTAAGTTTAGGTTTAGAGTCAGGCCAGGGACATCAGTGAACATCTAGTCCAACCTCTTCATTTTACAGAGGAAGACACTATGTGGCCAGAGAGGGGAAGGTAATTTTTAAGAGCCACATAGATAGTGAGAGAGGCAGGACCAGAAACCAAACTGTAGCCCCTCAGTCATAGTCTAGAAGACCTTTTGTAGAGGAAAGGAGTCAGAGTTGATCCGAAGAGGGGAGGGCTTCATGAGAATCCCTGAGCAGTTGTTACTGTTAGTCATGTTCAGTCTTATTTAAATAAAGTGTTAATGAGTGATTAACTTCATCTTTCATGAAAAATGGTATTTTCTAGGCTGCAGAGTTATAAATTATCTTATGTATTTTAAATTCCTAAATCTGATGCTCTGTAATTACAAAGTATGCCCGCTCAAAGGGATTTTGTTTTCTGCTGATCATGAAGAGTTCCTTCTCTTGCCCTTGCTCTCTGTTGCTATAGTAAATGGCTTGTGCCCATAGAACTTGTGGGCAAAGGACTTGGTGATGTAATAGCTATGACAGATGGCTGGCACAAACCCTGCTGTTCCTGTGTTGACCTCTTTGCCTCTTAGCATGTAAACCCACCATTCAGTTTATGCAATGTATTTTCAAGTAGAGAACTAGAAAAACTTCATGGTATGGTTTGGGGGAAAAAATCAATTTACAGTGCTATAGTGCCCTGTGACAACTCCCAGGTTCAAGCTTAGGATTCGAATTTCCATTGGCAGTAATTACTTTGCGTAGGGAAGAGTAAGAGGGAAAAAAATATAGAAATAGAGTAGGTAAGCTTCTTCTGGTAAGTAGAAATCTAGAAGCCATCCCATCCTCCTTCCTTTCTCCAAAAATTGTTAGCAAAGTTTAAACGTGACAGATATGGGGAAAATTTTGTTATTTTGCATTTATGACATTTTGTCATGTGGTTGTAGTAGAATTCAGTATTCTTTAAGTGAATGAGAAAATTGTTGCTGTTGGGGCAGCTAGGTGGCACAGTGGATAGAGCACCAGCTCTGGAGTCAGGAGAACCTGAGTTCAAATCTGGCCTCAGACGTTTGACACTTACTAGCTGTGTGACCCTGGGCAAGTCACTTAACCCCATTGCCTAGGCTCTTCCCCCCCCCCCCCCCCCGCAAAAGGAAGAAAAAAATTTGTTGCTGTTAATGTAATGTCTTATGAGGAAATAAAGTCTCCTCATTTTATAGGTGGAGGAGCCAAGATTCAATCACTCGTACTCCTGGGTTGCATTTATGGTTTATTCATTCTTTTTTCACCATTAGTCCATGTCTTGAGTATGACTAAGTGACACTTTTGTTGTATAAAGGCATAAGTGTCTTCCTTGACATTAGGTTAGGGGAAGAACCCTAGATTTTTGTCATTTGGACTCATCTCACTCAGCTGCTTTCTGGCAAATCACTTGACATCTCAAGAACTGTTTTCTTCTCTGTCAAAGTTAGGGGATTGGACTGAGATGATTTCCAAAGCCCATTCTAATTCTGCATTTTGAACCTAGAATCCTAATGTCCCTTAATATAGTGTTGTTTTTTTTCTCATGGGCAGCAGGATTTTATCTGAGTCGATTGTTTTTTCTCTTTTCTGCCCTTCCTGTCTTAACTTTGTCCTACATTTCCCTCTCTGAAACTTGTGGAGAAGGCCCCTTCATCCTCCATTGTCAGAGCTAAGCCCGTGTTTATTTCTCCAGCGCTGGTCCCAGTTATTGTCTTTGATCTTCCTGCTTTGCAGGTCTGTCCCTATCCTGCAGCTCCCTGACCCCCGCCCTGTCACTTACTTTCCTGCAGCAGAAGGAAGCACCCAGGTTTTGTAACCTTGCTACCTTGCTACTGATATCTTGCATGGTCATTGCCAACTGCTTCTTGGCTACAGTAACATTTACTGAACTGTTGGCCAAAGGCTACCAAAAAGACAGCGTGATGTGATGCAAGGAGCCTTAGACTCATGAGACCTGAGGTCTTATTTCCTACTGCGTAGCATTTGCCTGACCTTGGACAAGTCAGATCCCTTCTCTGAGCCTCCCTTTTCTCTACTCTGAAATGGAAATAGTGTCATTTACCCTACCTACCTCACAGGGTTGTTGTGAGGTATATGCTGTGGCAGTATGATGTCTTTGAATTTTATCTTTAGGACATATTCTGTAACTGCTCCCTTGTCCCTTTCCTGGACTTCATTGTTGTACAGTTGCCTATGATGAAACCCATCTGCCACTTTTCTACATGAGCAGAAACTTTTAAGACTTCCTAATCATTTTTCCCTTGGCATTTCTTTACTAACATGCTTAGGATTCCTAACAGAGTGGGGGATTCCACTTGGATATAGTTTCTTGAGACCCCTGATTTTTAAAATAAAAATGATGTGGTGCCAGCTAATAATGGGCCTCAACTGTTGGCATTTTATTGTCTTTATTCCTGTTTGTCTGAATACAAAAAGATCAAAATCACATTTGTCTCATCTTGGATTTTATTCTGCTAAGACTGTTAGCAGATTTCAAAGTTTAGTCCATTATAAAGCAACCTTGGAAACACTCTGAATGTTTACTACGTCATAGCTAGATTTACCCTGAAAAAAAAGTTATTAAAAACAGTGTTCTTGTAGACTAACAGTAAAGGACAAACTCTTGGGCCAGGCAGTCAAAGACTTTTAGGATCTTGACCCATACTTACCTTTCCAACTGGAATATACCCAGCACATTGTCCCTTCTGTGCCTTGGCCTACTCTGTTCCAGCTACCTGAATAAACACCTTTTCTCTTCTCCTACCTCCCCAAGCTCACCTGTAGAAATTCTTTCTATCCTTTAAGACTGTCCAAATTACCACCTCCATTCTCCCCCAGGCACAATCAGAGGACATTTCTTCCATGATCCTGGATTCCCATGGCTGTTTGTTAAACACACTTTTATGACACCATTTGTATTATGTATGTATGCTGTATTCAGCTTGTGTTAGAGTGATTTTTATACATCTCATCTTCCCTGTCATATTGGAAGGCCCTTAATGGGTCATGCACATTTTCTTTTACCCTGTAGTTTTCATAGGCTATAGGACCTTTTTGTGTATTATTAGACACTCTGAATGGTTGAGGCAGGCTGGTAGAGTGAGTGGGAACAGCTGTTGATCTTATGGTCAGTAGAAAAGCCTGACCAGCTTCCCATCCTAACTCAGAGGTGTACAAGCTGTGAAACCCTGTGCAAGACATTCCTGATTACTCTGAGCCTCAGTTGACTTGTTTGTAAAATGGTCACGAAAGCCTATTATAGGTCATTATTTACCTGCTAGGATTGTGAGGAAAGTGCTTTGTACATGTGAAAGTAGTCAGTCAATAGTTAACAGTGACTAGGAGTGATTCTCCTCTTCAGAAGCACTGAGCTGAATCTTTCTTAGCCCAGGCAAGTGAGGCCTGTATTTGGGGGAGGGGGAGGGGGGGAGTGGCACTCAAGCTTTCTTTTTTTTTTTTTTAACATGTGAAATATGTTCTGAATTAAAGGGATGAAACAAAACCTATTTGTGTGACTGAGGGCAGAGCTCTTGAGCACAGAGACAGTGTTATCTTCAGAAATTCTTTGGATTGAATTGACATCCAACAATGCAGTAAAATTTCTGAAGGAAAGAAATCATGACTGCAGACAAAAAGATTAGGACTGAATTTTGAGTGAACATAGCAACCCACTCAGGTGGGCTATTGGTGGGTGTTTGTTTTCCTACTTTGCACGCTGCTAAATGGGGTGAATACTACTGGACATTCTTCTTACATAATTTTCACTTACATTTCATGATGCTGGATATTGTAGGGAAGATATGGCCAAAATAAGCTGCTCTGTACTAATGTTTTTCGCTGGTTTTTACAGCCATCTTTGAATCCAGAAGCTGGGAAACAGAATCATCCAAGCAGACCTGTTGGGACCCCTTCTGGAGTATGGGGTAGGTGAAGCTCCCTTCTCTCTTGGAAAATTTCAGGGGCATAAATTAAACTGGCCTCACGCTCAGGGGAAAGGAACAAAATCATTTTCCTTTTATTATTTTCCAATTGTTGGCCCCAGTAATTATTGTTCTCCTTGTGAGAGCGTTCAGCAAGGCTTTCAGCAGGTAACAAAGTTATGTCAGCAAGTGTAGACAGGCCAGAATTATAAACCAAATCAAGAAGGGGAAATTTAAGAGAGAGAAACATCAAGTCCTTCCCATGTTAAAAATAATTACCTTCCTAAGGATAGTCCACACTGCTGCAGAAGGCCTTTCCCAGACCTTCTGTCTTCTCTGGATAGTTCTGTCTATGTTATCTTCCCCATTGGAATGTGTAGACTTTGAGGGCAGGAGGTATTTTTGCCTTTATTAGTATTATTAATACTTAGCAGACATAGTAAGTGCTTAATAAATGCTTGTTGACTTGCTTACAACAAGATAGTAAATGAGTGGCAGCACAATAGTCTGTGCAGAAAAAGATCACAGATTTTTAGTGGACCACAGATGTGATAATGAACTATAGTGTGGCAATTTTAAAAAGCTAATCCAATTCTAGGACACATTAAAAGGCAGAGTATCTAGAACAGAGGTTCTTAACCTGGGTTCCATAAATTAGATTTTTTTTTTTAATCTTGAAAATTAGTTAGATATAGATGGTTTCATTTGGGTCGTGTGTGTGTATTTTGTGTGCATTTTAAACATTATTCTGGGAAGGCATCTGTAGTCTTCAGACTGCCCAAAGGGGTCCACAAAACAGTAAAGGTTAAGAACCTTTGTTCTAGAATGGGGAGAGTGGCATTCTAATCGTATTTTGCCCTGGTCACACACTGTGTTGAGAGCAATATGTTAAATTCCGAGAGGTACATTTTAAAGAAGATCTTGACAAGCTGAAGGTGAACATGGTGATGCAGACACTTGAGCTCATGCTGCTTAGGTTGCAGGTGTTTAGTCTAGAAAAAAAGTTTTCACCAAGGGAATTGGAGGATGTGTGATTGCTGCTTTCAAGTAGCTCTTAATTAGACTTGCTCTGGCTGTTCTTGGTCTCCTAGAAAGCAGTTCTAGGAAGCAGTAGGTGGAGAAGGAGAGAGCATGTCTTGATACCAGGAGAACTCTCTTGCAGGAGAAGTCTAACAGAGCTGTAGAGTGAGTCTCTCAATGGCTTCCCCACCTCTTGAAGGTTTCTAAACTGAGACTCATTACTTGATGGAGAGAGTGTCAAAAATTCTCAGCTCTAAGATAAATGAGATGAACAGAGTTCCCTTCCATTGCGTGGATTTATGATTCTTGTCATTGTGTGAAACACTGTTGGAATATTCACATGTATCTGGGGAGTGTCTAAAGGGAGACAGCATTGCCCTCCCTGAAATTTTGTCTCTCCACTTTGGCCTTAGCTCATTCTCTGGGCAGATGGCACCCAACTGGCTTCTGTCTCCAGTGTCCAGTCCCAGGTCACCAGCTGCCTGCAGGACTTAGATTGCATGAGCATCTCAGACTACATAACTCAGCTTAACTCCTTCCATTCTCTGCTGAGGGTGGCATAGTCACCCAGGTACCTAACCTCCCAGTAAACCTTGGTCCTTCCATCTTGTCTCCCTCACCAGTGTCCAGACAGTGGCCATTACATCTCCCTCAGTTTACACACTACAGAGGGGAACTAGTGCCCAAGTTCAGGCCCTTGCCATCTCTTGTGTAGACTCCTGCAGTAGCCTTCTCTTTTGAGTTCCAGCCTCCAGCATGTCCCCTCTTCAATTCATCCTCCTGAGAGTTCTCAAAAGAATATTCTTAAGCTCATGGCTGACTGTGGTGCTTACCTCTGCATAGACCTTTAGGGGCTTCCTTTTCTCTTTAGAATAAAATACAAACACATTAACTTGGCATTTAAAGCCCTTCATGGTCTGGCTCTAACCTGTTTCCAGGCTTCTCTTCACATTACTTTCCCTTCATACCTTCTACAATCCAGTCAAACTGGCTTGCCCACTCTGTTTCCTGAATTGAGTACCTTTGTACCTGCTATCCCTAGGCTTAGAATGCCCCTCCTATTACCCCTGCCTTTTAGAATCCCCAGCTTCAGGATAGCCTCAGCTCAGGTGCTCCTCATATGGGAAGCCTTGCCTGATCCTCCTAATTAACACTCTCCTTTTTCAAAAGAATTTGTCTGTAATAATGCTCCCTCTCTGTCAAATTTGCTGAAATTATTGAAGCCCCTGCTGCCAGAGCCGTTGGCTGCACCCTCCTCACATACTTGGAGGTAGTACAGGCAGGCAATTTAAGCAGTTAAGAGAACCCAGGGCTGTACCTGAGAAACCTCCGAGGAGGCTGAAAGGCATGTCTGCAATTCTAGCACTGGTTTACCAAGGCACATGGTGTCACTAGTACTGTACTGTTAGTTCCCCTCTGAATACCCCTCAATAACCCACAATAGAAACTTTACAGTGAATAGAGCCAGTATTAGCCAAACCAAGATGACAAATTCAGGCCTCTTTTTCTGCCTTTTCTTTTTCTTCTTTTGTTCTCTCTTCCTCCTCTCTGACTCCTCTCTTCCTCTCTCCCCTTGCCCCTCCTTTCCTCTTGTCTCCTTTGCTCTTCAATTTCTCCTCCTTCCCATTTCCTTCTCCTCCTCTCCCTCTTCTCTCCCCCTCTTACCTTCCTCTTTGCTCTCCCTTTCCCTCTCTCTTTAGAGCAGACACCAAGCACACACCACTCTCTTTATTTATTTATGTATTTTTGCTTTTTAATATTCGCTTCCATAAGATTTTGAGTTCCAGATTTTCTTCCCATCTCGTCCCTCCCCCCCACCCCAAGACGGTGTGCATTCTGAATACCCCTTTCCCTAATCTACTCCCTTCTATCTCCGCCACCCCCAATTCTCTTATCCTCTTCCCCTTTTATTTTCCTGTAGGGCAGGATAGATTTCTGTACCCCATTTCCTGTATTTCTTACTTCCCAGTTACATGTGACAATAATTTTTAACATTTATTATAACTTTGGGTTCCAAATTTTCTCCCTTCCTCCCTCCCCACCCACCCTCATGGAGAAGGCAAGCAACTCATTACAGGTTATACATGTGTAGTCATGTAAAACACTTCCATAGTAGTCATGTTGTGGAAAACTAACCACTTCCCTTCATCCTATCCCACCCCCCCCCACCCCCATTTATTCTATTCTCTCCTTTGACCCTGTCCCTCCTCAGAAGTGTTTGCTTCTGATTACTTTCTCCTTCAGTCTGCCCTCTCCTTTATCATCCCCCCCGCTCTTATCCTCTTTACCCCTATTTTCCTATAGGTAAGGTAGATTTCCATACCCAATTGAGTGTGTATGTTATTCCCTCCTTAAGCCAAATCCAATGAGAATAAGATTCACTCATTCCCTCTCACCTTCCCCCACTTCCCATCCACTGTAAAAGCCTTTTCTTGTCTGTTTTATGTGAGATAATTTACCTCATCCTACCTCTCCCTTTCTCCTTCTGCCAGTATAATCCTCTCTCACCTGTTAATTTTATTCTCCAGATACCACCCTGGTGGGTATCTTCATCTTCATCTCACCCTGTGCCCTCTATCTAACTATCTAAATATACATATAATTTTTTTCCCTCCAACTACCCTAATATTGACAGAGGTCTCATGAGTTACAAATATCATCTTTCCATGTAGGAATGTAAACAGTTCCACCTTAATAAGTCCCTTATGATTTCTCTTTCCTGTTTACCTCTTCATGTTTCACTTGAGTCTTGTATTTGAAAGTCAGATATTCTATTCAGCTCTGGTCTTTTCATCAGGAATGCTTGAAAGTCCTCTGTTTCACTGAATGTCCATTTTTTCCCCTGAAGGATTATACTCAGTTTTGCTGGGTAGGTGATTCTTGGCTGTAATCCTATCTCCTTTGCCCTCCGGAATATCATATTCCAGGCCTGCGGTCTCTTAATGTAGAAGCTGCTAAATCCTGTGTTATCTGATTGTATTTCCTCGATACTTGAATTGTTTCTTTCTGGCTGCTTGCAATATTTTCTCCTTGACCTGGGAACTCTGAAATTTGGCTACAATATTCCTAGGAGTTTTCATTTGGGGATCTCTTTCAGGAGGTGATTGATGGATTCTTTCCATTTCTGCTTTACACTCTGGTTCTAGAATAGTAGGGCAGTTTTCCTTGATAATTTCTTTCTTTCTTTCTTTCTTTCTTTTTTTTTTTTTTTTTTTGATAATTTCTTGAAAGATGATGTCTAGGCTTTTTTTTTTTTAATCATGGCTTTTAGATAGTCCGATAATTTTTAAATTATCTCTCCTGGATCTGTTTTCCAGGTCAGTTGTTTTTCCAATGAGATATTTCACATTGTCTTCTATTTTTTAATTCTTTTGGTTTTGTTTTACAATGTCTTGATT